TGATAGAATAACGAAGACAGAAATAAGCAGGTTTCAGTGAAGAGGAGATGATAAAAATTAAAGCCATGAATATAGACCCTGGTTTGATCAAGAAAAGCAAGCATATATAGCAGTCAAGAGAGAAACAGGGTGCCTTGGATTTTTATTTTAAGATGGAAGATACTTGAGCACATTAGAAGTTTCAGGGCAAGAGGCAGTCAAGAAGGAGAGGCTGAAAAGCCATGGAATAATTGTAGAGAAGAGGCAGGGTACGGATTAAAAATAAACACAGAGACACTGACCTCGATCAAGACCCTTCATTTTCTGTGACTGGGGTAGAAGTGGTTAGAATGGGCACAGATAAAATTTTGTAGGTGAGGGAAGAAGAAATATATCAAATAGGACAAGGCTTCCTGATCTGTTTCGGGGGGAGGGAAAGGGAGAGAGAGAGAGAGCATGTACGTGAGAAGGCGAGCAGGGGGAGGGGCAGAGGGAGGAAAGAGAGAATCTTAAGCAGGCTCCATGCCCAGCCTGGATCCCGCCACAGGGGGCTCGATCTCACGACCCTGACATCATGACCTAAGCCAAAATCAAGAGTTGGATACTTAACAGACTGAGCCACCCAGGTGCCCCCCTAATCTTTTTTCACAACAAGGCATACATAGAAAATGATCCTACTGGGGGATAAATGGATGAAGCTGTTTGCAGCTGGAAGTGATGGACCTGAAGGTTTATAGCTCTAGGTTGGGATATACTTGGATGCAAGTAACCAAAAATACCTGGCAGCGTCTTAATTGATGAAGATATTTAAATATCTCAGTTAATCAGAAGTCTAGAGTTAGATGGTTCCCAGGTTTGTACAGTGGATCTACAATGTCATCTGAACCCAGGGCCTTTCCATCTTTTTCCTGTGCTATCTTGTTTATTGTTTTTGGTCCTTGCTGCCTCATGCTCAGGCATCCTATCTATATCGGTGTCCAAAGCAGGGAGGAGGGGATAGTTAGAAGCAAAAGACAGAGTCTTTCTTTTTATATAGGAGAAAAACCTTCAAAAATCCCTTCTGAACTCCTCCCCAGCAGATATATTTTATTTTGTTGGCTAAAACAGGGTCACATGACCACATACTAACTGCAGGGAAATGAAGGAAAGCATCTGGTATTCCCTCATTCTATAGTGGGGCACAGGCCAAGAAAAAAGGAGGCAGGAGATCAGGAAGAAATTGAGGTTGGTCAGCCAAGGCCCTCAATCCTTTCTCTATTGTCCTCTTTAGGAAAACCTTCTAAGAGTTTATAGCCTATTATGTGAGCTTTAGGTATTGCTTTGGTAAGATAAACTAGTTTAGGTCTTCTCATATTTTATGGATTTTATTATTCTTGTTGCTTGCCTTAAATACTTAGCAACATCATCATCTTCATCATTATAGTTCTTACTGATTCCCAATTTTCAGTTATATTTCTCTGTGTGTTTTGTTTTGACACTCAAAGTACTGAATGGCATTTTTTGAGGGAAAATGGACCATGTGTTTGCTTAGAAATCATTTATCAACTAGCTTACTAAATTCTAACTAATGTGTTTATGCCCTTTCAATTGTACACACAGGTATAAGCAAAGTGTAGCAGGAGAAAGTAAAAACAAGAAACCTACTTTGAGATATTAACACATTTGAGGACAAATTCCAACTCCCAGAAAATGTTTCATTTAATCCAGAAGAAAGGAGTCTCATTTAATTAAATCAGAGAGTAAAGATATAAAACATTTAATGAATTGGGGGGGAAGAGGTAAAGCATGTCTTTATTGAAGCATACTATGCTTTAATTTTCTTTCTAGATGATGGTGTAATATATTTAGAACAAGGAATCAATCTCCTGATGTTTATCATGTGCCAGGAAAGGAAGTGCTTCTTTATTAGAATAAGTAGACTGATGACTTTATGTTACACATTTTATTGGACTTATTACTAGAAGTTCAGTAGCTTAAAAAGAAACTTTACTTTTCAAAAAATTTTTTTATTAGACAGTCTGTGTTAATGCTGTGCTGGAGAAGGTAAAGAAAATTTTCCAAGAAGAAGAATCCATAAGGCAAAACAGAGAAGAGAGTGAAAATCTTAGAAAAGCCTTTTCTGAGCCTGTGCTTTCTGAGCCTACATTTCCTGAAGGTGAAATCAGAGCAAAACCTTACAGGTCATTACCGGAGAAACCAGACAATATTTCAGATTGCCCCAAACTTCCTGCTAATAAGTTGAATAATAAGATCCAGGTTTTACATTCTGTGTTTGACCAATCAGCTGAAATGAATGAATGAGCAAATCAGAACATAAATATCACTGAGTGGAACTTGAGAGTTATTATCTAATCACATTTCATCTGACAAAACCAGGAAACTAGTTTTCATATATTGACTGCTCTGCTTTAAAAATGGGGTGGGGAACTACTAAAATGTCATTCTCAAGTATTTATATGGTAGAGAAAATAAAATGAATCTTGATGTAGAAGTATGACTATGATATTTTTTAATGAACAAGAAAGTGTATCCTTTGGAGGGTTAGACTTTATGCTATCGTTTATAACATGGGTATATTTATAATACATTTGTTTTTATAAAGACCTGTTTCAAGTACCTTTCCAATTACAGTTGGCCCTTGAACATGGGTTTGAACTGTGCAGATCCACTTACATGCAGATTTTTGATAAATAAATTATAGTACTGGAAATTTATATTCTCTTCCTTATGATTTTCTTAACATTTTCTCTAGCTTACCTTAAGAATACATTATATAATATATAGAACATTCAAAATATGTGTTAATCAACTGTGTATGTAATCAGTCAGGCTTCCAGTCAACAGTGGACTATTAGTAAAGTTTTGGGGGAGTCTAAAGTTATATGTGGATTTTCAGCTGTGTGTGAGGTTGGTACCGCCCCCCCCTGCAATGTTCAAGGGTCAACTGTATTCATCTGGAGGGAAAATACCCTCCATATCAAAATGCTATATATCTTCTTCAGAGATAATAAAAGGATATTTATTTTCTATCTATAGGCTGCATAGTTTGAATCTGCCTATTACTGATCCTTTTTTAAACTCATCTGTAAAGTTATAAAGGACTTATAATTCTCAGATGTAATAAATTTATAAAACAAAATATTATTTACAAATCTTATAGAAAACTTCTATATGTGAGGGTAGGATATGACATGACATTTTTTATTTCCAGATTTGTTGGAACACATTTAGAACCAGAAACCAAGTCCTTATTACTCATTATTGCCTCTGGGTCCTGAGAGAAAATTCTTCTGTAGCTAGCCCTGCAAATGAGGGCTACTGTTTTGCCTGCAGGGGGTACTTTGGTTTCTTCCACATGTCTTAAATTCTGGACACGTGTTATGACCTGAGTGGTCATTGGAGGATTAGCACCTGATATAATAGGCTAGGATTTACCCATTGAGTGGTAGTACATTTCCTGTACCTGGTAAATAGCTACTGCCATAAAAGTATTTATAAAAAGCCAAACCTTGGCTTTTTAGTAGTCTGAGAAATGAGTAACAAGTGTTCTATCACCTCATGTTACCCATATTCCATCAGAAAAGGAATTGTAATAATATGTAGCAAAGGGATCCTCTGTAAGCAGACCCTTAATTATAGGTACTTAATTCACTTATTATTTTTACGATAACCAAGGGAAAGAGTCCAGGTGGCCCCCCTAGAACATTCAGTATTAGGTCTGGGGCTTTAATTCAATCCTAGGCCACTAAGAAGATTACTGTGCTTAGAGACAAAATTCCAATTTTGACAGTTTTTCGCACTCTGAATTCATAATGTGATCATCCTGGCTCTTATTCTACTTATGGTTATATTCTACTATATGCTGCTGAGTTTTAGATGATAAGCACCCAGAGTGTTACAGTATGGTGTGGGCACCAGGCAACCAGAATAGTGCTGGCCATAAATAACGGGCCTATGAAAGCAGGGTGGGCCAATTGAACATCGACCCTGCCTGTGAACTCAGCAGAAAGGACTGAGGAACAACACCCTCTATCTCTTCTCTGTAACAAGTTACATGAAACACTTAGTTCTACTACATCACAACATTCTCAAAAACAAAACAAAACAAAACAAAAACAAACCTTTGTTTGAAAATTTCACATAGGACATTCAAAGTACTTTGGCTCACTGAATAAGAAACTTCACATCTCTCATGGCTGGGCAGCAGCTGTGTGTGTCTTCCTTACTTTGGGAGTATTTGCTTTGACCAGAGAGAAACTGAGCCAAGATTTATTTGGTTTCGATGCGCAGTACAGGAGGATTAAGGAGTGCACTTGTGGTGAGCACTGGGTGTTGTATGGAACTCTTGAATAAGTTTCTTATTTTTAAACGAAGCATTGTAAATTGATCCCATTTTGGAGGCATTGTTTTAAGTGTAAAAAGTCTACTCTATATTTGGAAAAACTGAATAGTTGAGATTTAAGCATTTCAGTGTATTTAAATTTTACCTATAAAAAGGAAGAATAACAACGAAATTGGGGCGGGAGGTGGAGAATGTGTCGAGGTATCAGTGAAACAAGAGTACAAGAATAGAAGAAGGGAAGAATGCTGATAATTGTTGAAGTTGGGTGATGAGAGTTTATTATGCTACTCTGTTTAGTTTGTATATATTAAAACTTTTGCATGATAAAGTCTGCTAATCAAAATAGGGATTACCTCCCCCATATTTTATTAGATCTAATTTTTTACCTTTCCTTCATTGTGGTTACTGCAAATATTTTCACCCTTCTTAAAATGCATGTTCCAAACCTATAACCTTCAGGTTTCAATCAATCCAGAGGACTAGATGAAATGTAGTCTATAGATCCTGATGATAATCCTTCCATCACACTAAACGTATATACTTTTGAACTGCTCAGCTTTATGTGATTTTTAAAGATAAGTAATAAATGTGCCTATGTTGGAAAAATTAATACTCTTTGGTATTGAAGCACAATTATTCTAATATATTCAAAACATACACAACATTTTTCATTGCCATATCGTTTTATCAGAAAGAACTCCGAATTACTTTGAAGTCTCCAGTGGCATAAAAATCAGAGTCACACTTAAAAGATTCATTAGAAAGAGTCACATAAATATTCCCATTGTCCACCGTCACTGTATGAATCCTCTGCTTTACTCCTTTGGAGCACCACTTGGGTTTTGCTGATGGATCTCTAGGGTTTATAGACTGATACAGTCCTTCTCCTGTTGCCAAGGTAATTTTGTATTTATGCCAGGGGCAAACTATACATGGTCGTCCATCAAAATCCTGGGAAAGGAAATAAATGATTTAATAGTCTGATATTTCCAACATTCACGATAAATCTCAGACTCAGAACAGATTCTATTGCAGAAAAGCCAGGTTAAAGAACAGGCCAGCTTCTCTTTTTTCCTTCCATTTACAAATTATTCAGCATAAGGCAGAACCTAATCTTAGCAGTCATCAAGTCCCTACTGCATTTGATTATAAACCCAGTGTGTTAGAACTCTATCAGAAAATGAGCTCGGCAACTATACCATGTGACTGAAGCTATGATGTTATCTATTAGATGTTAATGTCACTTCCTTGACAGAAATGGGGCAAGGGCATCAAGTGCTTCTAAAGGAGTTTTCACTAGCTGCTGGAAGAATGGTAAGCTTCAAATATAAATTTAAGAGAGGTTACTAAAGGCATAAGTGTATATGTTAACTGAAGAGCAATTTGTGATCCAAAGTAGTCAATTCCCAACTTTTTAACTGTCTTAAGTCAGTGCTTCTCAAATTTTAAAGAGCATGGGAATCACCTGGATCTTGTTTAAATGCAGATCTTGTTTAAATTCAGTAGTCCGATGGTAGGGCACAAGATTCTGTATTTTCAAGAAGCTCCCAGATGACACCAATGTTGCTGATCTATAGACCACACTTTAAGTAGCAAAGTCTTACAGGTCTCATTATGGTCCAAAACAGAAGGAAATTCTTTCACATTATCATCACCAGGTGCTTACATTTGTTTCTCTACCCCAGAAGTGCAGTAATACTGATATTGTACCCCCACAGACCAGTCAACAAACATCACATTTTCTTAATTCATAAATTCATGTTCATTATTTAAGCACACATATGTCCTTTAACATGAGGACAGGTGTGGAAGTAGGTAGATATGAAGTATATAGAGAGTGGAATTCTAAGTTTCACCTTGTATTTTGTACCAGTCGGGGGTGGGGGGTGGCGGGAAGGGGAGGAATAGAGAAAGATCAGTTTTATGAAGTAGAAAACAAGAAATTAGGCAGCTAGCCAGTTTGGGAATGCAAGGAAGTAAGTTCCCGCATTCCTTCCTCAAATAAGCCTTCAGTGTGTGGTTTCCTTTTTAAAATATACATATTTATATTTTTACTACATTATTCATGTAATATATACTCACTGAAAAAACTCAAACTGTGTAGAAGTGTATAAAATACAAAGTGAATATTATTTTTTATTTAAAAAGTGGGATCTCATTAGACCTATCATTCTATGACTTGTTTTCACTCAAAAATATATTGCTGACATCCCTCCATACCAACACATATAGATCTGCCTCATAAATTAATGAGGCAGTTGTTACATAGTTTTCCATAGCATGGCTATTCAGTTTATTTAAACTGTTTCCTATTGTTAAACATTTAGGTTGCCTTCAATTTTTCATTGCAACAAATAATGCCACAGTAAACCTCTCCCATATATATACTTGAACATTTGTGCAATGATATCTGTAGGGTAGATATCTCAGAGTATAATTGCAAGGTCAGAAGCCATGCATACTTCCCCTATTTATCTGTGAAATAGTTTTCTTTACATTACAGGACTGTGAATTCCTGGAATATTAGCAATTCTACTCAAAGCATTAAAATACAGTTCAAACCCAAATATAAATTATTTTTGCATACAGAATGAAATAAAGAATATAAATAAGAAATATGTGAATTTGTAGAGGATAGATTTAATTTTACATACCTCTATATCTCCCAAATGTAAAGGTCCTCCTGAGTCTGAAAAGAAATTGAATATTACATCTAGTCACTAAGAAAAAAAAAAAGCCTGAAATTTTGATAGTTTTGTGGTTAGTAAACAAATATACAAGGTTTACAAATGAAAAATAAACTCTTACGGTAACAGCGAATATCCATAGCATGATATTCTCCTTTGTGGTAGAAAATGACCACTTCTCTATCATGGACAACAGCTGTCATTCTTTCAGATTTTTTAATGTCCTCTTCTCTGCCAACATAGACAGAAGAATATTCCTTCATTTCAGGATCTTGTTCAGAGCCATCAAGATCCATGCTAGTTGAACAAAAGAAAAAAAAAAACAAGTAGTCTTCAACAAGTTTGGCTACAACTTAACTCACAGAGATCATTATATATATATATATATATATATTTATATATATATATTTATATTTAAATTCTTTAAGATTGATGGAGGCTTTTTTATAGCTATATAAAAATAAAACATTCATAAATACTGAATTATAGTTAGTCACGATTTTGAGTTAGAGACTCTTAAAGCTTGCCCAAATTAGGGAAGACTCCCCACTTTGAGGCTGGACTTAGATTCATTTCAATGTGTAAGATGGATTATTTCAGAAGTCCCAAGACCCAGAGACTGAAGTTTCACTGTTCTTTTATTCCCTATCATTTCAATGCTAAACACCACCCAGTTATCAGTGTTGTTTTCAGCCTTCTCCTAAAGGTAGGAATCTTTGATAGTCTGAATAGTCTTGGATCTCTTGGTTGAGAAGACTCATTTGATTTTGCCTGGAGTGGACAGCCAGTCTTAGAAATCAATCAGGTAACTATTCTAGTACAAGGAGATAGGTATGAATGGGCACATTTCATTTTCTTAACTCAGACAGAAATTAACATTAGTTTCTTCTGCCTTATTTGGGAATGCAAAGAGATGGCTTTCTCTTCAATTAATTTATATAAGTATATAAACCCATATTTCTAAACAAAGAAGTTTTAGTAGAGAATTTTCAGGTACTCTAAATATATTTTTTCTCAGTGCAGATATTCAGGCTACTTTTTTGAAAGGAACCCTTTCAAAGAGACCTTATATATACTTTAAGAACATAGTCATAGTCTGTTAATTCCATGTGAGAAGGAAACATCAAGATACATCAGTGTCAGGACTGTCAGGCCTTGTAGAGGATTTTCCTGAGGGCCTCCCATTTGGGGGTTTTTATTTTATGCTATGACAGTTTCTGAATAAAACTATATATCCTGTTTTGCCAAGAACTGCTGTATTTTTTCTTTCTCCACTCCTAACCCCAAATCTTTCTTCTTATCCCCACCCTCTTTCCATTAGAGTTGTTATCCCAAATTTTCTGGAAACATTCCTGCTTTTCTTCCCTGTCTCAGGATAGAGACTGTGGTGGTCTATAACTTTCAAAAAGTGTAAAGAATGATGTATAATATTATCTTAGAGTTGACAAAGAACTTTCTTCCCTAGGCAAGAGCACATTTTGAATCTTTGTACATAGTGAAATAAAAATCACAAGACACAAACTGAGATCACTCAGGTGACTTTACTTTTTATTTCTTAAATAATTACATTTTCGGATATCCCTGCATGGTTTCTGCCCTCTGCTGGAGAATGGGAATCTTCAACCATCTGGACAATATCCAGTTTCACAACTGGCATAAGGCAAACTCACTCCCCAATATGGTGGACAGGAAAGAGGCTGCCTACAGCATTTGGGCGTGAGATCGTATATGTACCTCGACCATTATCTTGGACCAGCACTACTTCAACCCTTTATTATATGAAAGAAAATAAAAGCTTATGATAACATCTAATCACAACCTACTTTTTTCTTTGGGTCACTGATGGACAAGTTTCTCTGTAATCTATTTAGAGAGGAATAAATGTCTAAAAAGCAAGCAAGCAAAATTCTCAAGACGTGACTACTGAAAATAATCTTTAGCACAGAATTACAAAATTTCAAAAGAAAAATTTCAACAGTGGATCTTCAGATTCTCCTTTTGCAAAGTTCTCTTTCCTTGTCAGAGATTATCATTCATTTGATAAATATTTTCTGAACATGTACTATGTGACTGGCACTTCAAGGAAGTAAATCAGATCAGGTCTCTGTCCTCTGGATATTATATTCTAGTTGGCGAGATCAACCACAAACACCAGTAAACAAATACACAAATGAGATAATTAGACAGTACTATAATAGCCATGAAGAAAATGGACTACGCAATATGAGAGATTAAAGGGGAGGCCATTTTGCAAAGAAAAGACTGGGGAGGTGACTCTGAAATGACAGTTGAGCTGGAACCCCTCCCCCCAATGCAAATGAACTAGACATTTTAAGAGCTGAAGGAAGAGCATTCCAGGCTGAAGGTACATGAAAGCCTGAGGAAAGGGGGAGGTAGGGGGGAGGAGGCTTGGTTAATTTGAGGAACAGATAGGAGACTGGAGCATAACGAGTGAGCTTGGTGAGACAGACAGGAGCTAGGTCATGCAGCGCTGTATACGGATTTTATTCTAAGAGCAATGGGAAGGCACTGAAGGGTGTAAAGCAGGGAAGGGTGACATGATCTATTTTTAAAAGAATGCCCTCGCTGTGTGGAGAATAGATTGTAGCAAAATAAGAAGGAAGCACAGAAATCAGAAAGCCATTGCAGTGGTCCATGGGAGAGAATATGGTGGTTTGGATCAAGGTGTTGACTCTGTTGGGGGAGTAATAGTAAAACAGTAAAAAGTAATAACAACAATAGCAGCAGCAGTAGCTACAATCACACTGTGCTAACTACATGTCAAGCACTGTTTAAAGACTTTACATTTATTTAACTCATTCAATCTCCCAACATATTATTACAAAAAGGTATTACTTTAATTGTACAGTGAGTAAACTGAGTGAGGTCCAGAGAGGTTGGGCTCATGAACTGGAATAAAGGAATACAGAAAAATAAATAAGGGTGCCTCCCAGGTTTTAGTTTTGTGCAATCAGGTAAATTGTGACTGTGACAGGAAAGACTGAAAAAGAAGTGGTATTTTCAGAAATGGAAATTCAAGAATTAGCTATATTTTGCACATAGTTTGGGGCACCTAAGAGACATTCAGATAGCGCTATCAAGTCTACACTTGGATATATGAAACTAGAGTTGAGGATCATTGGAGAGATAAATTTGGGAGTTGTCAAGTTACCGAATTCAATGGAATCACTTGGAGAGGGAGTGTAGACAGGTCTAATACAATTCCCAAGGCACATCAACATTTAGAAGTCAGATGAGGAGAGGTCTAAGAGATCCAAGACCAGCAGAGTGTCCAATCGATTGCTAATCAAATGAAATTCACTCACTGTTCACTACTCTATCCTACATTCTCATCAAATGGCAAGTAAGTGGTAACCCAGCAAAAAAGGCAGGCAGTGAGGTAAAATCCATTCTAATACTGGCCACCTAGTCACACAATGAATGATCCATGAACAAAATGTGGGCTTCCTAAGAAACTGTCCCAAAAGACTGGTTCTTTCATGAAGAGCTGGACCTACACTATACCCCTTTCTCCTTGTAATTTCACTTATTCCCTTAACCTCCACTCTCTTAGAAATCAAATACTGGTTAATATCCAAGCAATGGTTTATATCCAGAATTATTATTACTATTCTTTTCCTAGTATTTTTAAAGTTTGTCTCCTATTAGACTCTTAAATACTTTTTTGGCCAAAAATAGAAATTGAACGGTGAGAAAAATCAAAACTAAGAAATCTCTCAATATTGTTCATTGACACTGGCTCAAGGGTCAACTCTGCATAGGTCTTTTCCAGTCCTCTTTTTAAAAAAGATTTTATTTATTTGAGAGGGGGGAGGGGCAGAGGGAGAATCTCAAGCAGACTACTCCTTACCCCAACCCCAAGCATAGAGTCTGACTTGGGGCTAGATCTCAGGACCAAGAGATTATGAACTGAGCCGAAATCAAGAGTCGGACCCTTAACCGATTGAGCCACCCAGGCACCCCTGATCCAGTCCTTGAATCAAAATAATGATTTGTATTCATCACAGTATAACATTTAGGAGCCATTATTTGACATTCAAAATTAAGCACCAGTCAGCCTTAAAAATGGCATATATGTTCATTTTATTTTATTTTTTTTAATATTTTGGGGCCTCCAGCCTTCTTTTTTTTTTTTTTTAAAGATTTTATTTATTTGAGAGAGAGAGAAAGAGAGAGCACGAGCAGGGGGAGGGGCAGAGGGAGAAACAGGCTTCCCGCTGAGCAGGGAGCCTGACGTGGGGCTCAATTCCAGTACCCTGGGATCATGACCTGAGCCGAAGGCAGGCTCTTAACTGACTGAGCCACCCAGGTGCCCCCATATATAATCATTTTCAATCCAAAATAACTCTCCAGCCATAGTATCTCAATAGATGTTTATGTTGACACAAGCTTTCCAAAACAAAATGTAACAACTATTCTTAAGGCTGTGGCAAGGCTAGGTCTTACTCAACATTTTCAATTTCAGTTCCATTTTAACAATTTTATTATTTTATGGATTTCATCAGATTGGGAAACTAAAGAAAGTTCCAGATAACTTGAGAGGCATCCAACTCTGCCTTACACAAGATAAGGAATTACATATAGAAAAGGAAAAGGAAATGAATCAAAGTGATGGCCCATGATAGTTGTAGAGATCCAGATGGTGTTAAACATTAGGATGGTTGCCATGGGATGCTCATGATATTAAACAAAATATAACTGCCTTATAATTTAAGATACTTAACAAAATGATAAATCACATGTCAACTTCAAATATTCTAATTTTGAAAGATGATCCTTCCAAATCCATGTTCACTTCAAATACAGTAATATTGTCATATTCATAGGAAGTTGTACAGAATGATGATGTACCTTTCCTTGATAACAGGAAACTACCTTTTTAATTTCACTCAAGTCTGAGTTTAACATTTTACATACAAACACATATATGCAATTCTTTAAAAAGGTCACTTGGACCTTGATGAACCTAGGTTAGAATGGTTATAAACTATAGACCCAATCCCCACCCTGCAACAAGAGGGAAAATTGTTATGTGGCAGCATCAAGAGTCTCCAGGCCTTCTGATGGCTTCTCTAAATATTTATTTAATCTTGTATAACTGATTGGAAGTCTAGAAATGTTGGGAGGAAAAGAGCATGGATCATTTAAAAAATAAGTTTGTAAAACAGAAATTATTATTTAGAAGTAAAAAATCTCTATGTGACTGTGTTAGGAGTGAGCTTTAGAAAGAAGGAATTTATAGGCTACTATTTTGAGAAGGGTAACTGAGCCATAAGAAAGATAGATATTAGATCTTATGCAAGCCTGGGCTTTAAAACTGAGGTGTAGGAAGTGGGATGTTTGTGTGTGTGCATGTGTGTTGATGAGGAGCGGCAGGAAGGAACTTTGAATTCAAGGTATAAAGGAAAGCATTACACAAATCAAGCTTAGGAAATTACAGAGATGTCAAATTTGTACTCTGAAGTTTGCACTGTTAACTTTTGCTCTAACCTAGTTACTTTTTAAATGATGGAAAAAAGAACGTGCTATTTTAAAAAAACTATTTCATAATAAGTCAGTCAAGCTGAGAAAGACAAATAACATGTGATTTCAGTCAAATGAATAGACAAAGTAACAGAAGGCAGAATCAGACCTATAAATACAGAGAACTCGATGGCTGCCAAAGGGAAGGGAGCAGTGGGGAATGGCAAATCGGTAAAGGGGAGTGGGAGATACAGGCTCTCAGTTATGGAATGAGTAAGTCAAGAGAATCAAAGACACAGCAAAGGGAATATAGTCAGTAATACTGTAATAGTGTTGTATGGTGACAGATGGTAGCTACACTTGTGGTGAGCATCACTTAATGCATAGAGAAGTTGAATCACTATGTTGTACACCTGAAACCAATGTAACATCATGTGTCAACTATCCTCAAACAAAAATGTTAAAAATTATTTTACAGTGAAAAACAAAAATATAGTATGTTTACAAAAAGTCAGTGAGGACTACGCCATGATTTTCTGGATTAGCTATGGCTGACAGAAGGCTGGATTACTACAACTCTAAACAGTTATCTTGTTTTGCTTGATATTGGCAGGTACCCAAAGTATACATTAATCCCCCTTTAAGTATATTCCAGAGAAACATGCACAGGTACACCAGGAGACATGCACAAGACAAGCAAAAGACAGGAAAAAACTCAAAATGCATCAACCGTAGAATGCAGAATTCTTATGTTCATTCGGTGGAATGCTATGTAGTAGTAAAAAATGTCTGGGTACCTCAAGTTGGATTACTTTCAAAAATGTAACTTTAAAGGAACATTTTTTTCAAGAATTCAGAGTATGCTTCTATTTTTACCAAGTGCAAAAACAGGCAAAACAAAACAATATATAATGGATATATGCAGATAGAGTAAATTTATAAAGAAAAGCAAGGTGATAGTAAACACAGACTTTCTTAAATGTCTCAAAATATTACATTTAGTCTTATATTTAAAATTACTCTTTTAACATTTAAGTTAAATGTTGTATCCTACTTTATATTTATATAGCGAATGATCCAAAAACCAAGAAAGAGGGGATATAAATGGCACTTTCTATCCTCAGAAAATGTGACTGTGCACTTAGACCATGAATGGACTATTTGAGGAATTTCGTTCAGCTTATTTAAAACTTGGTACTAGAAAAGGAAATAAATGAATATTTACTTTTCTTTTTCCAGGCAAAAAATTAGAAAAGAAATACTAGTATCAAGCAAGTAACAAAATACATGAGATGTGGAATAGCATCAAAAGTTAAGTTCTCCCCCATTTCCAAATAAATGAGAACGAAATACAATCCTTCAAGTTTCAGTCTCTTCGAACACAGAGTTTTAGCAGGGTTTGCACCCCAACCAAGGAAAACTGCAGTGAACTTTGCAGGAGCTGATAAGAAATGAGCAGAGAACGCTGGGCTCAACGATAAAGGTTTCAGAGAACTATGATTACTCTTGCATTTTGCTTAGGAAAGTATTATCGTATCTCAAATAATGGTCATATTTACTTATGATATCTGGTAATATTTATAATTAACACCCACATTATTCTTAATTAAGTATTGTGAATATCACAGTCCATTCAGACAATAACAAGAGTCAATGTGTTCACCTTAATTACTATTACTTTGATGCACTATTCATATGCTCCCACATATTTCCTCTATTTTGAATCGACTTTAAGATAGCAGAATCTTAATTAAATAAAAAGAAAGTGAAAAATTAACTGGTCTATACAGTTTGGGGGCTAAATGAAGAAAAGTTACTTCTGAAAAATTTAGGCATTTTGCTCCGTTTTCCCCTTAAATGTTTTTTGGCCTGTGCCTCAAATAAGTTTCTAAAGGTGCTAGCACCATATAAAATTACAGATTAGCTAAATGGATCATCAGTCTCTATCAAATACTTTTCCAGCATAGGTTGAATTAAAAAAAAATTATGTTTCCGTAAGACATTGGAGACAAAAGAGACATGAAATTAAAGGAACTTACTTGTTACTCCTCTTGAGCTCTGACAAAGGTGCTTTTACTAAGTCTGCGGCCTCCGCCTAGACATTATCAGAATGCATTACTCCGGGGTGACACCCTTGCTTTTAGTTCAAAGAAGAGAAATGCCTCAGATAGTAGTTTTATATCTTTGGATGGCAGAACAATAGTAGGTAAAACTAGTTATCCTTCAGTGAGTGCCAACTTCTTGTCTCTGCATACCTGAGTTCATTAATCCTCGCAAAACCTCCCAGGGGCAAATAGTTTATTTATTTTCCAGATGAGGAAACTAAAGGTAAAGGATCCTCTTTAACAAAAGGTTTCCTAAAACCATAAAAGTAGCAGTCAAGATTCATACCTGTATCTTCTGAGTCTAAATTCGGTGAACACTGGTATATAAATCTTAACATTTCATCTAAGTAGCAATCCACAGGTTTATAAAAACATGTGGCCTGCAAGTAAACTGTCTTAAAGATACAAAACCTTTTAGCAAAATAAAAGATATCTGTGAACGTATATATGTGTATCTCCAAACATGGTTCTTAATGTTTTTTTTTTTTAATTTAGGAATGCTAATGTGCAAGAGTTGTGTCAACAGATGTTTAAAACGGAACAGTTCCCTAATCATATGAAGTCACGTAGCTGCTCTGGGATCCGCTACCATCGTCCCTGCTATTAGAGATCTGTGATCACCAGGTGAGTTCATCTGGGTTTGTATCCCTGCTGTGTGAATTGGGGCAAGTTGCTTAATCTTGCTGTGCTGCAGTCTGCATGTAAAAAAGGTCGGCCACAGAGGCTGTGGTGAGGAATAAATGCTTCACCATACATCAAGTGTTTTAGAGCAGGACCCGCTCGCGGGAAACGCTCCAATCATGTTAGCTGCCATCTCTAAGGTCCTTCCAGCTCCGACAATTTATCAACGCATGACTTCAAGCTGTATTTAACATTTTAGTAATGACGGTCTACGGTAGTTACACGGAGAGGCGCTCAGGAACCACAAGCACAGTCTCACAGTCTACGCGTGGCTGTCCTGATGCGGTGGACTGCTCCACCTGCAGACTTCGGGAGAGGAATATCTACGACGGCCGGGGCTGCAGAAACCCCGTGGCCGGTTTAGCGCGCACAAATGCCGGGAAAGCTAGGTTTTTAAAAACGCCCCTCCTGCCCCACCCAGGAGGCGGGTCCCGCGTGGGTCCAGACTCAAAGGTGAACAAGCTCGGCGGGCCTCGCTGTAACTGGGCGGAAGCCTGCCCGGAGGTTAACGGTTAACGAACGCGTGCCCTTCCTGAGAAGAGCCGGGAGCAAAGACCGACAACAGCCCCTTGACTCCCCCAGGCCGCCGCCGCCGCCGCCGCCGCCGCCGGAAGCCAGAGCTCAGGCCGGCCGTCCAGCCGGAAGCAGCGGCGCTCGCGAGCCCCGCCCAACCCCGCGCGAGAACAGGACTTACCTTCCTCGAGTTCCTCGCCCCGCCTCCGCAAGACCGGCCAGCCGCGGAATCCGCGTAACGCTCTCGCGCCAGCCAAGGTTCTGACCGCCGCGCGGAGCCTCTCCGCGGGGCGGGGCGAAGTCGCCCACGTGACCCGAGAGCTGCTGGCCTTGGAGACTGTCTCTGTGGCACTGCAGGCTGATGACCCCCCCCAAACGTGCTCTGCTGCGACCTCTGAACTGATAGTCGTAAAAGTGCTTGACAAACGTAGGTGGCATTTATTTATTTATTTTTAAATGTTTGTTAATCTCACAACATTTATCCACATTTTAAGTTTATTTGCTTATTTATGTAATCTACACACTCAATGCGGGGCTGGAGATCCAGAGTCTCAGGCTCTTCCAATGGAGCTAGCCAGGCGCCCCTTGTACACATTTTAAATGCACGCACCAATCTCACTCTCAGGAATTTACCTAATAAAAAAATTTCCAAAAGTTCCTCACGATGCATATAATCCATGTATAAGGATGCTTATTGCAAGGAAAGAATAAGAATAGCTGAAGTGATCAGTAAGAGGGAAGGATGGTAAAATAAAATACAGTGTGGACATGGGAATTACTTTGTGGCCATATACTCACAGACCAGATTTCATGAATGTATTGAATGTTAAAAAGGAAAGTATACGATACACAATTCTTTAGTGTAAATAAAAATTATTTCTCAAGATACAAATAGGTATGTTTGTACATAAGCTTTTTATAAAAAATCTTTTTCAAAACTGAACAGTGGTTGCATTGGAGGTGGTGGTTGGTTTTCACTTTAATTTTTTGAACATTGCAACTGTTTTCCTGCACTTTCCGAGTTAAAAAGAAACAAACAAAACCCCACTTCCTTCTTGTGTTCAAAGCTGGAAGCAAGTTGAATCTGGAATGTTTTTAAGAAGTGTCCTTGACTGTCTTCTAATGCTGTGCTTTTTTTTTTTTTTAAGATTTTATTTATTTATTTGACAGAGAGAGACACAGTGAGAGAGGGAACACAAGCAGGGAGAATGGGAGAGGGAGAAGCAGGCCTCCCGCTGATATTTTTTCTAACTTCCCAAGTGACTGCAGTGTGAACTCGAGGTTGAAAACCACGATCTATATTTAATATCCTAAATACTGATCTCAGATCCTAGAGTGGCCCAATGGGTCTCAGGCAGCTGAAACCTAGGGGCCTTGTCCATTTACCTCAGTGTGCCATGCAAATACCATTTTTTCTATAAGCCTCAACATATAAGAATTTGAGAAACCCCAAATAATGGATTTACCTCCAGTGCTAGTTTCTTTTGATTTCTATTCTGTTCAATAGTTTTAGGGTGATAGTAATATTTTATGGGATAATTTCCCTTTTGGCCATTTATTTCACTGATCCAAGCAAAAACCAACAATCTAGTTTTGATGAACTGCTTTACCAAAGTGATAATAAAATATATTTGGACTTATTATAATTTACATTGTCTGTTAACCATGCAAATTATTTTATGGCACATGGAGGGTACTAGCAGTCTTTAGCTTGTGCCATGGAAGGACTAAATAAGGTTTGCTGTTTCTAATGAAAAGTCCTTTCTTGCCTTGGCATAATTTGGGCATTAAAATGAGACATATCTTAGATTCATTGACCTTAAATCTGATTTCTAATAAACTGAAGACCTCAGTTGTTATGCATCTATAAATACACAAGAGGGAGAGAGAGAAATGCAAAGTGTCTTTTATCTCCACCTAAGGTATTAATGGGGTTAATTATGTAATAATATGAAATGCCTGGAAAACTTTAGGGGGAGTGTGGAGACACTTTCTACCTTTTCTCTCCTTGGAACCAATCTGCATCTTCCTCTAGAACCTTCCTCCATTTTTTCTTTCATCTTTTCCTTTCCTACTATTGACACCTAGTGGTAGCCCTGGCATGAGTTTTATTACTTACCACGGAAAACAACTTTTCCTCTGTGAACTTGCTCATCAGTGTCTTTGTCTAAAAATAGTTTTAAATGTCCCTTCTCACCTTTGTGAGCCCCTCTCATCTGCTCTGAGCATCAGGCTGTGTCTAGGCAGGCTTTTGGGGGACCAAACCCTTCCTCTTAGAGACATTCAAAACCTACCTTCAGTCCTAAACTATAATCTCTTTGTGAGCTAATGAAGACATCAATGTGCTGATAGTTTCACTACAGGTAGGTTTGAAGAGTATCAACCACTCTGGATTTCCTGTTCTTTCAAACCAGCAAAGGTTGACAACACTGCTCTTATTAGGCTAGTGGGATTCAGATAATGAGAAAGTGAGGGTGGCTTTAAATACAACCTATCTGCTTAATGACTTCTAACTGGAAGTCTCCATGATATTCATTTGTTGTGGATACCTATGTGACATTCCTACCTGGATATTGTGGCAGAAACAATGGTGTTCACCAAATATCCCATCTGCTACCCCACATTTCCCATAGTGACTGTGACTACTTTTGGCCAGTGGGTAGTGGGCGAATATGCCATGTGTCACTCCTAGATTGAAGCATCGAAGAGCTCCTATTCCACCTTTCCAGTGTCTCTCTCTCTCCCTCTTTTTTTTTTTTTTTTTTGTCACAACCACAGACATTCTAGATGGTGGACCTCTACTAGCCTGGGTCCCTGAGTGACCACATGGAACAGAGACCAGTGACTACCTTCCACCAAGCCATGAAAGATATGTAAAAAGTGAGAAATAAACAGTTGTTATGTTTAAGCCACTGAAATTCTGAGGTGGTTTATGATTGCACCAAAGCATAATTTAACTTGACATCTCATTGCTTTTCAGTTTTATGTGTTCAAGATTGAAATATTAATGTTCTCCTGTAAACCTATACTTCCTTTGTTCCCTCCATCTCCCTAAGTGACAACTCTGTTCATCTACATGCTAAAGGGAGAAGCCTGGATGCCATACTCACATCTGCCCTTTTCTCACTTCTCCTGTGCAGAAAAGAGTTGACATAGCTGACCTAAGGACTGCTGTCCTTATAAAGCTCTGCTTGTAAGGTTGGCCCCTGGCTGGCATCTGGGAATTTGGCTGGCAAATAGTTCCCTACACTGATACAAGATTTTCCCTAAATAATAAGGATGCCTCACTGTGACTAAACTGTTTGTACAAACAATATGGTTTATGTTGACCATGACCTGCTTTCCTTTTGGGAGTCTAGAACTTTGGTACGTGCTAGGCAGGGGTGCCTATATGACCACCTCCCAATAAAAACCTTTGGGTGTTGAGTCTTTAACGAGCTTCCCTGGGCAAAAACATTGCACACCTTTTTCGGCATTTTCATTGTTGGCAAAAGAGTGAGCTCTGTGTTACCCCTCCAGAGAGGGAGAGAACATAAGGAAGCCTGCACCTGGATTCTTCCATTTTCCACCTGTGTCCTTTTTCCTTATTATCCAGCTTTGTATCCTTATAATATCATATAATAATCTTAGCATGAGAGGAACTATATAATGAATTGCATGAGTCATTCTAGTGAATCCCCAAACATGATATGGTCTTAGAGACCCCTGTAAGTATCCCCCCATATCTAATCCAGCACCGAGTCCTGTCAATTCTACTTCCTAAGGTATACTTCAAATTATTGTGCTGCTTTTCTTTATTTGTTGTCACCACTCTGGAAGGTGCTATCATCTTTTATGTGTGTTGACCTTTAACAGGACCCAATAAAAAACACCCTCCCTTTTTTTTCCCTGCCTGAGTTTGGAACCAACTGAGAGATACAGTAAGAGATAGAAGTGTAAACTTCATTTAACAATAAAAATCTAGATTGGGATAGCTTAAATGTGCAGCCAAATGGATTTGCTAACATCTCCGGAATTAAGTTTATATGCCCAAATTGCTGCCCTCTGCCTTAGAGCTGTCCATCTTGAGAGGATGGACCAGATTGTACTCTAATTAGGCACACAGTTTTGCAGAAAGGAGAAGGAAAAGGCTGAGCTGAGCATACAAAAAAAAAAAAAAAAAAAAGGAGTGAAGGTTGGAGGTTTTAAGATTTCTTGCTCACTGTGAATTTTATCTTCCGAGTGGAACTCCAAGTCCTGGGCATCAAGCAAATGATATACATGCTGACCGTGAGTAGGCAGTGGAGAAGGGAGCATGGTCAGTGAACACCAGGTTGTCAGGAGTGAGCCTCAAGCAAAATGCTGGCCATTAGTACCTAGCCAGGCTAAACAAAGTAGGCACAGAGCTCCGTGGGCCCAGCGAAGGGCCTTCGGTAATGTGGGTCTCAGGGTGCAGGCTGCTGCTCCTTGACCTTGAAGCGTGTTGGGAACATACTCATTCTACCACGTTCATTCTCAGCAAAGGTAAGAAGGCCAGAAAGACCTCAGAAGGCAGGCATAGCTAAGGCAAGGATTAAATTACAGGAAAAATGTCTTTTGGTATTTACGGAATAATATTTCCTGCAATTAGAGATAGTGAAGTTAATGAAACATAAGCTTCAGATCCCCTCACATGTGTGGGCCCTTTCCAAGGTCCTGAGCAGCTCTACTAATGTGTTCCCACGGTCATCCTTTATATCCTTTTACTATAATTCGGAAGCACACAAAATTACACAAAAGTAGTACAGGGAACTCGATCGAAACAGCCATTTTAGAAGTATGCTGCTAATCGGGTGCCACATCAGCCCCTAATGCCTTAGTATGTATTTCCTGCAAACAAGGACATTCTTCTGCATAACCACAATACAGCCCTCAGAATCAGGAAGTTACCCTGACATCTAATCCTCAAATCCAGTTCAGAATCAAGTTGATTTAGTTGTCATGTCTGTTTTGCTTCCTTGTCTGGGATGGTTTCTCAGTCTTTCACTAACATTCCTGACATTCACATTTTCCAAGATTATAGGTCCTATATTTTGTAGACTGTCC